TTAGTAAGCTAAGAAAAAGTTATTGCTAGCTATTACAATACATCTACACAATGAATTAGGATGAAAAATTAAGTCAGTGGTCTAGGAGCACCTGAAGTTTACTGAGGATTATTTAGTTTGTCATTATGAGACATGACAGCATTAGTTCTGCTCTATTACAACAGAGCTGTATATTCATTTATTTATTTACACATTGGGAAATTAGCTTTATAGTTAAGTTTTGGTAGATGCATGTGCTGCCTTGATTTATTTATATTTAAATCTATTAAAAAAATGCATCTAGCATGAATGTCCCTAAGCACCTGATCATCATTTAAAAAGATTAAACAATATAGTAGCCAAGTCAGACAAAAATTCTCTTGCCACCTAATATTAAATACTCCTAGGGGGATTGTGCACCAAAAAATTCAAAATTCTGCAAAATGCTGCATATTTTATTTGTCAAAATAATGCAATATAATCACACCAGTTTCAATTGTTTTGGTAATTTATTTAAACTACAATACAGAAAAAAGTCACAATAACTGTTCAGCATTTCATAAACACATGAAACTTAAGTTACAAAACACTTGGTAAATAATACCCTGCATTCTAGTTATAATCCTGGATGTTCATTAAAATTACATTACAGAACACCAAACATTAAAAAAAAAAGTAGAATGCAATTTTAAATTGCTCAGACTTTCACACATGCAAGTCATACACTTTTGCTAATCATTGTCCTGGTCCTGGCTGGGTACTTTGGGGAGTGCTTGGTTCTGATTGTCCTGACATTTTATTGACTGCTTGGTAAAGGTTTTATATGCCCTCAAAGTTTTTTTTTTTTTTTTAATGGGTAAGTAAAATAAATCCTGAGCTGCAATCTAACCCATTGTGCCACTTTGGCACAGGAAAAAAGTTAGAAAGAACATAGATATTCCTAGCTGAGGATTCCCTTATGGTCATTTATAAGGCTCCTTTACATCACTCTGGCAATGTAGGGGCCTTAAAATTTTCACAGGTTTTATGATCCTGGGGGAATTGACTGAGAATGGGAACAGTTAACTAACAATAGGAACATTAACAATGTAACTAGGTAGGCAGGCAGCTACATTTGTGCCTCAGACAATGAGATCAATTAACTAACAGGCAGGTTGCTATATTTCTGCCTCTAGCCTGCATCGTGCATAATAAAAAGCCGTACCCTTCCACGCCAGCAAGCTGCAGTAGCAAGCAAGAGGGAAAGAGTCTCTCTTTCTCTCTCTTTTGTTGGCCCGCATGTACGCCCAGCCCCCCCACGGTGATCAACCACACAGGCATGTATGCCCAGTCCACCTCCCCCGTCTCTGAGGCTGCTCCGGGCACGCTGGAACAGACGTGCTGCCTGGGCTGCCGGGGAAGAGGCGCATGTCCCCCGGCAGATTTTTTTTGCATTTTTCTGTGTGGGAGGCACAGAAAAATGCTGGCCATATGAATTCTGCCCCACCTCCATTAGGCGTTGGGAACACAGCATAGAACAGATCTTGTTAGCAGAGAAATTAGGCACATTCATCAAAGTCCATCTTAGGGGGATCCAGAGTGCAGGGCTTCCCAAGTCCCAACAGGAGACTGACCAGCTTCCAGCAGTCCAGCCTCAGTCACACCCAGCTGCCCTCCTCCTTCCTGTGTCTCCTTCCCGGGCAAACAAGTCACCTGGCCTCCACCTCTCACTTGGTCCTCGAACACCTCTGGCTGATTCTTGCAGAGGATGGGCCCTGGCTATCAGTTGCCAAGATACAGAGCATCGACCATTGTCTGTGCCCAGGCAGCCAGATGGCAGTCACGTCTGCCCTCTAGGGGCCTCTGCAAGTATCACACTCCTTTGTTCCACCACCTAGATACTTGAGTAACACATAGGGGAAACTGAGAAAACATGAACAACATTCCCACTTCGTCACACACTCTGTCAATGAAGCTAGAGTGATGAGAGACAACCTAAAAAGACGCAAGGGAAAGAAAAGTGCCCAGAGAACATCTCACATCACATTGAAAATTAACACAAATTATCATCATCAGAGAAACCAACTCTTATTTAAAATCTCATCACTTCAGCCCTATATCCTGACTCTACCAAGCATCGATCTTTAACAAATCCCTTCATAACATACTATCTCAGCAAATCACTTCCCAATGCAAAAATGATCATACACATTTTCTGTAAAATAAGCTCCACAACTAGTTCAATAATTAGTATGAAACCGCATATAATACCAGACAACTCATTGGTAGTTCAAGGAAAACTCACAACAAAAATAAAAATCCTACAGCTGAAATCCTTGTTCATCATAATTCCATAAACACTATCGAAGATTCCATTGTCTCTGAAGCTACGGGTGTTCAGCATTTCTAAAAATAAGGCCCCTACTATCACTAATTATTCCTCTCAGAAATAGACCCTTATTAAAACAGAATCCTTCCGATTTCTCTAAAGGAACTTAGCAACTGCTTAATTTCTCAAAGCCTGTATTGAGTGGCAGAAACTCTCAGCTTCCCCATAGGTCACACTAAGTCGATAGCTGGCAGTTAGTAAAGCCTTAAGACATTTCAGTGGAATTAGTTCTACATCCTTCATAAAGTTTTAATGTTGGGCCAAATCCTGACATCTACTCAGGCAAAATACTCATTAACGTCAATGGGCATTTGTCTGAGTATGGCCTTCAGGATTTGGCAGATAATTTTGATGGAGAATAAAGGAAAAAATTGGCTGGCCACTTAGCTTCTTTTATTGTAATAACTTTCTCTGTTACTCAGCATACAAAATATACTCTACAGAAGGTAAACAGTGCTCGTTCTCTCCGCAAACATCTCGTACAAGGAACACTACTGCTTAAATATAGTTCTGCAAGCTTAAAAGAATGGACTCTAACCCCAAGGGCCCATAAACATTAGAGCAAAATGGAAAGTGAAACCCTTTACTGCCACTGGAGCAGCAGGTACTTTTTCAGACTGAATTTTGAAGCTTCATTTTGGTTTTATAATAAAATTTGTGACAGTTGGTCATGTGATAAGCCTTCTGGCTGAAACCATTCCCTGCAAATCCTATTGCATGCAAACTCATAAGGAACATGTAGGACTTCACAAAACTCATTGGCCTTGTTTAGAATTTTGCTTTTTCCATATTGTTGCCTGATCTTTTGATTGTTCATTGATTAGGTTATTGGCTTAGTTTGCCCAGTTAGGACTCTGTAATTTGGTAGGTTCTTGTCTCAAGATAAGGCCCACTATTATCAGAATTACTCTAGGAGCCTTGTGGGGCACAGCCATGACAGCAACACTCACACTCAGGGAAGACCTTGTGTAACTGTAAAAGTGTTATGATTACAATGATTAGTCCAATAAATAAAACAATCCAAACAAGTAAAGCAATGTAATATAAAACTGTCAGAGCAACCGGCACCATTGCCAGGTATATACACACTCACTATCATTCTATCCTTGGGGAAAGCACTAAAGGTTGAGACAGATCCTAGTCTAACTCCGGCATACGGATGAAGAACTCCAACAGCTCTATCTGAGCTGAGACCAGATGTTTTATAGGCCTTGATGGTCCTCCTCATGTATATGTACGCATAGCTCTTCCCTCCTTTAACATATCTTAACTTCCTCACCCTCATAATATTGGGGTGCCCTTATCCTATAGGCTAGTATATTAATTAAGCAAAACTTATTATCATATACATCAGCTGGATTACTATGGTAATATTACTTTGCTAATATTCCCCTCCAAAAATACTCAGATAGGTAACTGCAAGAAGGCAGTTTGTACCAATCAGCAGTTTGCAACACTTGTGATTATGACAAAACAATAAATAGTCTTATACCATCTTGTGACTTACGGTTACTGTTAGTTTATTTCAATATGCTAACTCTTTGAGCAATTACTCCTACTCAGGCTATAAGGCCTTATACTTATGCTAACTGCTTAAGCTATTCTTACAGGTCTAGACCTATAGGTCTCTTGCATTCCTGCTATCACTTCCGCTCCTTTATCTTATAATTACTGCTATAATTATTACATGGCTACAATACTGGTTAACACACAATTTATTGAGCGAATTTGATCCTTTTTCTTGTTCATTAGCGCAACACCAACATACTGTATTTGCTAGAAATTTGTACACTGTCTGAAATTGTTTATTGAATATTTTATGCAAACAAATTACAGCCTGTGGTTTACTTGTTAATAGTTTGCTGCAAGTATTCCTTTGAATATTCAATATCCATAGCCGAATGCTTGAGCTGTGTGACTGGTTACCCCAGGTACATGGTATTGTTTCTATTCCTTGATCAGCTGACCTAAACTTAATTTCTGCTTATGTTTTATGATTATATAAATCTCAGCTAAGGTTTAAGAATTCACTTTCCACAAACATTTTAACAAACAAATATTTCCTTAGATGAATATTGATCAAAAGCAAACAAAACAATTGCAAACAGAGCTTAAGCAAAATTTTCTTTATAAATCACTATAATTTTTGTGACTAATTTTTCTCTCTAATCTCTCAGCCCTAAAATCCATGTAAACTCATGCCAGCCAGTTGTACACAAATCTAGCCTATTGTAATGAAAAGGAGTTAATGAAAAGGAAACTGAGCCATTTAACTACTTCCCTACCATACCACTTCATGGACCATGTTGACCAAGTTTAAACAGCATGTGCCAAATCGTGGTTCCACTGAAGTCAAAGGAAAATCGCCCAATTACTTCAAAGTGACCAAGATATGGCATTATATGAAAAAAGTGTTTTAGTACTATTGAGAATATAGTGCCTAACCTGAAGGCACACCTGTCTAAGCACCATTCTTCTTTGTCAAGTTACAATGGTTTACTATAGAAGAAATTGGAGATTTTTGAACAGCAGCGCTATGAGTTAAAATGCATGGAGTTTATAAAGGATTAAAAAGAAAAATAAACTTTCTGATTATATATAAACCCCATTATAGTATGACACAATTAGAGCATTTCTCTGGAATATACTTTACCTTTCAACCGAGGACTGTGCACATGCATTCTCTGCAGATGGAGATTTATTGGAACAAATTCTAGTGTCTTTTCTCCTTTACTACAGCTTGATTTGAAAGAAGATCCTAGAAAACAAAAGTTTAAAGAATCATTATCTCAAGCACCCAGCAGATGTTTTGTCTTTTTTTTTAAATGTTAGGACAATACTTGTACGTTAGTGGCATTCTTTAATTTACTTTCAATGTGTAATCGTGTATTAAGAAAAGAATGGTTTGCTAACTGCGTCTCAGCATGCATCCATATTCTAGTCAACAAAACAGCTTTTAATTCACAGAACAATCTAATTTGCTGAGAGACATTGTTCCTGCTGCCTGGAATTGGTCCACAGCACGCTGGAAATGATGCCACAGTTAACATATATTAAGTTTATATTGTGCTAAAAATACAGGAGCATGGAGATATGACACTACATATTTCCACTAGCAAGTGAGAACTTTTGGTTTTTTTTAAAGCAAAACGAATGCACTGACTAGAATATTGTTCTTTCCTGAAAGTGAAAACAAAAAACTTTGAATTGTTCACATTTCAGTAGGAATCATTATAAATAAGCCTTCTTTCTAAAATGACAACGTGATAATAAGCTACTCACAATGTGCTGAAAAGATTTGACTATACACTTCATAATCATCACATCCAAAATATGAGATTATGAGTAACTAAGTATAGTTATTTTGAATGTTTAAAGGAACACTGTCAATGCTGGCAGGCCAAAAAGCTAATTTACCAGCTGATTTTTGATGGTATGTACACATGATGTAGTAGCTTGTAATTTGCCCTTTCTATGCCTGTCTGTTCTTATGATTAGACACTATATTGAAAATTATCATTATCTGTAGTGCTTGCAGAGAAATGCTATTCTGGCTTTGTTTTCCTAAGACCACACAGGAGTGTGGGCATTTTCCATTTCCATTCAAAGTCATTTTGGGGGAAAAAAGATTCAGAAATTGTAGCAAAATTACATTTGCAATTTTAAAGGTACCATAAGTAATATTTTGGGTTTGACAATCTTGAAAGCGTTCCTTTAATCCTACATTTTCCTCTAAACAATGAAAATGAAGTAATGAATAAACCCGCTTTGTATATATATGACCACAGAGACTTCTGAAACTTATTTTTTTACATGTTAATATCAAGCATCCCACTCCTTTTCTTGTTTTTTCCCCCTATAGCCAGTAAAGAAGAAAAAGTTAAAGGGCAGGTTAAAATATGCATTTAATTTTATTCTGCATTATCATCTTATTTAACTGAAAAGGTCTAGGGACACATTTCTGAAAATAACATGTGGAAAGATGAATCCCTTTGTGAGAGAGAAGAGTGCAATGTAGTCTATAGGAAAAAAACTGATTGAGGAAAAAAAAATTATGATAAAAACAAATTAAAACAAATAATGGGTGCTGAGAATGTATACAAGAACCAATAAATACTTTATTCTACAGAAACATTTTAATATGTGACAAGAAAACATGAGAACTTAATTGACAATTTGTAAAAATGAAAGGAGGAAAGCTATTATAAAACCAGCACTAGGTTTACAGTGAAGGAACTGCCTGTACCGATTTGATTGTGAAGGAGATTGAGACACACACTAATGTTGTCAGTGGAAGACAGGGAAACAACATCACTGACAGTGAAGCTATAAATCAGCAGCACAGGCAGAAAGGTTTCCTCATGATTCTGAGATGTCAGATATATGGTATTTTCACACTTTATCAATGAAAAACAGTTGGTGGTAATTCCGGCATACTGTACAAGTCTAGCAATTATCATGGAAGACATACCAAGAACTTTACAGACTTCATTTTTCAGACAAGGCTGTAAAGACTCAATTTGACAGCAATCAATGTCTCAAAGGAGGCGCTTAGCACCTTACAGTATCTGGCTGTAAGATATCAAAGAGTACTTTTGCATAAATAATTGATATGATGTAGAATGAAATGGAATTTTTTGAGGTGAGTGTGAAACAGAATGAAACATTCTGTCTATGTGTGAAAATATATATAAGATATGTGTGTATATATATATATGTGTGTGTGTGTGAGAGAGAGAGAGATTCAATAAATCCAGAGGAAGGGTTACTCACAGAGCATAATGTTAAGTGTGTGTATAAGTCCCTGAAGGATTGGGACCCAACTATACAACAGAGAATAGTGAAAGTATATTGTTATAGATATAGGACACCTAACTTCACAGCTAAATTAGCTAACTCTTATTCCCTGAGTTATAACATTACACATAATGACGTCTGTGTTTTGGGTAAAAAAAACCTGTTTAGCTGAGAAAACTATTGCTACATTTCTTGAAGAGACTTAAAAAACTATCGATAAAGATGTACCTTTCAGATAATGAAATTACAGTATAAAAGAATAAAAAGTATATCTCAAGATGCAAACAAATGGTATGATGCTGTATTGTATTACTGAAGAAACAGTATGTGATGATGTAATTGAAGGCTGCATCATATACTCAAGGGGTCAATGTCAAGGGGTGAGATCCTCACCCCCACTCTAGCCACTTTACACTGTATAATAGGGCTGGAGAATCACAAAGGGGACCTAAAAGCTCTATAATTGGACAGAGGAGGATTCCCTTGGGATAGGAACTATAGACAGCTGCCTCTTCAGGGGCACATTGCAAGCACTGGCACATGGGTGTGTCAGGAGATTCCAGGCAGGCCTGCAGCCCAGGAAACTGTCATAATTCAGACAGGGGCCTAAGTTACACCAGGGGCCTCTCTAGTCCCTAGACAAGCCCAGGATCAGATAGGCACAAAAGTGGCTTAAAGCCACCTTAGCACTCCCATCCCCCCACCCCCAGGCTGAAGTTGTGCGCTATGCCTCTAAAGGGTATGTCTTGACTGCAGAATTTATTTGGACTGTGCCCCTAAGCCCCCTCTTGTTCACATACCCAAGGCACTTGAATGAAGTGGTGCTTCCAAATGGGGCTAGCTAACATGGCTAAACATCTGGGTTAAAGTCCTGGTTCCTCTTTCACGCAAATTGATAACCCAACCACTTTGCAGTGAGGATGCAGGCTAAATCCCTTGAATGCATGATAGTCCTCTATTGTAGCCTTCCCACAATTCCCCATGGGTGCCCAGAATGACAGAAAAGTTCCTTCATAGTTCACTGAGACAGAATCATAGAGTGATTCACCTTACTGCAGCACATACTAACCATCAGAGGTGCCCCTCAGAAGTCCCAGTGACACACACTGGGGAGTGCAGCACAAGTGAGGACACAGTAACTCAGGTATGGCTCTGCAGTATGGCTGCTCAAACTCAAGCTAGGCTAACCTGCAAATCACCCAGGCTAACTCTGAAGTGGAGACATACCCTTAGAGGCACAACACTGAATCTCAGCCAAGGCTTCATGGGCAAGCATTCCCTGACTTTTGGAGCCGTAAGTGGGCAACGCATACATCTAAACATACATTTTTGGAGCTTGATCCTGCACTGCTCTCAGAGAGTAGAATGCAGGTTTGGGGTCTCGGTATGGAATATTATATATTTATTACTTATGCAGTGCGCAAAAGTGTGCAAGGACTTTCAGAGCAAATACAGAGGTATGATCCCTAACCTGACGAGCTTATAATGTGACTCAATAAGTGAAAATAAAAAAAAAAATAAGGAAGATGAGGTGAAGAAATGCAATGGTCACAGCAAAACATTATACAGTTACTTGACTATGGTGTCTGCACACATCTCAATGGTTCCACTAAAGTCAGTTTTTTAAAACAGTAAATTAAGTCACTTTTTGAAGGCAACATTAAAGAAGTACATTTTTATGTATGTCAATCAAATATCTTTCAGTGGTAGATTAGCACTAAAAGATCTTGAAGAAATAGTGAGTTTTAAGGAGGGATTTGAGTGTTAAGCTTCCACTTATCTGTTCATACTTTATTTACCATCTTCATTTTATTAGTTTTCTTTTTGTATCTTTGTTGCATATGCGTCTTTTGTTCTCATAAATAACCTTAGGCTCTATTATCTGTTTTTGTAATCTCAGAACACAGTTAAGACCGATAAATAAGAATCATCAACATGCTCAAAGACAGTTGGCATGTTACCAATTTTTCAAGATTTATGTTTAATATGCTATAGTGTCTTTTTTATCTTGAAAGGTTATTTGAATGTTTTCTTAGAAGTGCTTTTTTTTTATTGACTTCATAAAATTCTGTGTTTGTTGCTTTGTGTATGATGATATATGGGACACCTTCAAAATGTAATTAACAAAATATTTCAAAAACTGTGTCTCAGCTCGAACAAAGGAACATAGGAATTGCCGTAATGAATCAGACCAGTGGTTCATCTATTGCAGTATCCTGTCTACAATAATGGCCAGTACCAAATACTTCAGAGGATGGCAGATGAACCCTTTGTCTGATAAAAAGCAACAGAGGGTCCTGTGGCACCTTTGAGAGTCTCAAAGGTGCCACAGGACCCTCTGTTGCTTTTTACAGATTCAGACTAACACGGCTACCCCTCTGATACCTTTGTCTGATGCAACCTCTTAACCACATACCTGCAAACAAGTGACTCTCTGATGTTTATACAGCATCTAGTCCAATGGAAAGCTATTCTGAACAGATGTTCTTTGGGGGCAGGAGTGTAAAAGAGAGAGAGAGAGAGAGTGTGTGTGTGCGTGTGTGTAAGTAAATGAAATCCACCTTCAGGTGTTATAGTATGCTCAGTATTGAACAGGAAGAAGGAAGAATGATAAAAAGTGAATTTTTCATCCATTAACATTTTGGAGAAGAAAGACTTGTCTCTGAAATATTTTACACAAGGTAGTAATTATGTCATAATTACTTGTGTCCAATTCAGCATACAGATGGAGATTACTCTGCTGTGCATTATTTGAGGTAAACATTCATTTTAAAACTGTGGTTACTCCATTTTTCTCAACATACACAAGAGGCAGTTTCATTAGCTAAAACAGAAGGTACTAGAGATGGAACTGGGCAAATACTTTAAAAAAAATCTCAAATCTTTTATTGGAATTTTTAAATGAATTTTGGATGACTGTTCATGCTCCTTTTATATTTACTTTCCACAAATATTCTGGGCACGCTCCCTGTACCCCACAGAGATCCATTGATTTCAGTGGGGATCTGGAGTCAGCCCATGCATAGCAAGTTGTAGAATTGGACCCTTAGCAAGCACATTTACTGCTGGGATTGTTTGCTGAAATAGCAAGCTTTATGTGACTCATGCAGCATAATCCTGGAAAGCAAATTTCAAAGTTATAGTTCTGTCTATTGGCACCTGAAACCTGCTTGAAAGCATTCCACTCATTCAGAGAGAAAGTAGAAACAACTCTGTCCATTCAGAACACATTGAACTTTTAAATATTGAATATTCGTAACAAACTACCCAGAAACAACCTATGTGCTCAAACTTAATTTACAGAGATTATCAGAGGCATTAAACAAGTATAATAAACAAACAGTAAGGATATTCAGCAAATAATACTGAACGTCAGGTAAATTAGAGAAAATTAGAATCTGTATGTGGACAAATAGTGAATCACCAACAAATGTGTAATTGAAGGAGTTAATTATTATGCATTAATCGCTCAGCTCTTATTTGGTGTGAGTATCACTGGCGGAGAAACTGGCCACTTTCCCATGTATATGGTGCACAGCAAATTTGTCACAGATGTTGTACTGGGTTTGCTGGCACATGGACAAACCCTCCTCTTTATGCATTGCAGTCTATGGGCAGAGTGGTGTGTAGTATGTTTACAGAGCCAGCGCCAAGCCAGCTATCCTTTGCACTTCACACCAGCACATAATGCATCCTGTATGACAAAAGTAGAGTTGCAAATAGCTGCACTTTTGGACCCCTGGTGGTAACACACAGAAACTGTCTGATGATAGGTTGCCCATCCTAGGAGTTCAATGCTTTCCTGGATGTGGGCAATGCCTCTAACACATCAGGGAGGGGAAATATGGGATCTGCTGCTGGCTGATACACCCTCAACAGATGTTCTTGAAAAGGTGGCTGCATTTTGTTATTACTCCTTAATATCTTTAGTGACTGGTTGGCTGCAATGAACAAGCTGTGTGGACTACTTGTAGGATACTGTATGTGCAGTAATGATCTGGATGTCAGATACACCTACTGTCCCATGTGGTTTACTCACCTGTATGATTATGAACCGTGCAAATCCTGAAAATGAACTGAGGTGCATGAAAGATAGTGCAGACTTCACTTTTTGCCAGGAAATGTGCTCAGAAGTAGGGTGCTTATTAGTATCTCAGAAATGTTGGGAGAACAAACTACTGAATTTTTTTGAAGTTGTTTGTGTGGGAATTGTATGCACAAATTTTAGTAACATATGACAGGATTTGGGCATGTAACTCCTAACTGAACCCCTTTGCAATATGCAACTTATACACACAATATACAATCTCTCCTCTTTCCCCAACAACTACTCCCATTGTGAATTGTGTTTAATTCTCTTTGAGTACACGAGAGTGAAATGTCCATTATACAAGATACTCATTACCTCTGATGGAGGATAGAGACTATTTCCATACCTGTATGTTTCCCAAGATCTGCAAGAGTGTCCTGGTACATGTTCAGCATCTGTTCACAGTGTGCAATAACATTTTTACGCATATTGTCCCAATGTGGAGCAAGTTCTCCTAGCTCTTTTAGGTCCTGATTCCTGCATCAAAAGGAAAAAAAGATGGCATTAGCCCAAATACAGTATGTTAAGAAGGGTCATGAAGCGATTAAAAAAATTAATCACGATTAATCGCACTGTTAAACAATAATAAAATCCCATTTATTTAAATATTTTTGGATGTTTTCCACATTTTCAAATATGTTGATTTCAATGACAACACAGAATACCAAGTGTACAGTGATTACTTTATATTTATTTTTGATTACAAGTATTTGCACTGTAAAAAAACCCAAAATAAATAGTATTTTTCAATTCACCTAATACAAGTACTGTAGTGCAACTTCTTTATCATGAAAGTTGAACATACAAATGTAGACTTATGTACAAAAAACTACATTCAAAAATAAAACAATGTAAAATTTTAGAGCCCGCAAGTCCACTCAGTCCTACTTCTTGTTCAGACAAACAACTTTGTTTACATTTGCAGATAATGCTGCCCGCTTCTTGTTTACAATGTCACCTGAAAGTGAGAACAGGCGTTCGCATGACACTGTTGTAGCGGCATCGCAAGATATTTGTGTGTTAGAAGTGCTAAAGATTCATATGTCCCTTCATGCTTCAACCACCATTCCAGGGGACATGCGTCCATTCTTCAACAATGACCAATATCAGTTGTTTCAGGAAGAAGCCCTGCAGTAGGCTGTTAGGAGGACACTTTCAGGTGTCCTCTTAACTCTCAGTAATGAGAGATTGGCTCATGTCCGAGGCTTAAGGGTTTATTCTCCTTCCAAAGTGCTTGGCTTTTGGTACTGATCATTATTTATGCAAATATACTCCCTGTAAATGTCTAGGTTTTTTTTGCATCCTGCTAAACACTTGGCCTCTGATATGTTGTGGTGATGGGTTCCACAGGCTAATTATTTTTGTATGAAAGAGTATTTCCTTTTACTGGGTCTGGATTTACCACCTTTCAGTTGCATTGGATGTCCCCTTGTTGGATTATCATTGTCCCATTCATTATTTTGTGTACTTTTATCATATCTCCTCACATTTATCTCTTCTATAATCCCAGCCTTTGCATCTTCTCTTCATATAAGAGTCTGTCCTTGCCCCTAATTCTTCTCATTTCCAGTCTTTGTCTCTCTTTCTACTATAATCTTTTTTAAGATGGAGTGACCAACACACAGTATTCCAGATGAGGGTGTGCCATTGCCTTCAAAAGAGCATAATATTTTCCATTTTATTCTCCAGCATGTACCTTATGCATCCTAATATTCTGTTTGGTGTTTTTAACCATCACTGAGCATTGCATGGAGGTCTTCATTGAGCTCCCCACAATAATAGCTGGGGTGAAAGCCTGTCCCGACTGAAGTCAGTGATAGCTTTGACATTGACTTTATTGAGGTTAAGATTTCATCCTAGGCTTTTTCCATGACTTGATCTAGTTAATTTTGAACCCAGTAATGTGTATGAATAGTTCAAAATATTCCCTTCAAATGTCATTACTTTGTATGGTCAGTACTGAATATGTTTCCTCTAGAGAATTTTAGACTTCTAAGCAATTCTGGCATTCTGGCATAGCCATGGGAATAAGAAAGTGACTTTTGCTATTATTATGGTCATTACTCTTATGGCACACTCTAGACACTAAATAAATAGTAAATATATTCATAATAAAGGATATTCTCCATAACTATTTCAGCTACCTTTACTTAAAATCCTGCATCCACACTAGTAATCATCCATGTATATTTGAAAGTCAAAATGCAAAGTATTAGTCTGGACATTCCTTTTGAGCCATGTGGAACAGGGATGGTCAGAGTTTACCTAACCAAAAGCCAAACTGGAAACTTGTCACAAGAGCAAGGGCTACATACTGTTTTACACTATGGATCAGATTGCAGTCACTCTAATGCAGTCATTCATGGATTGCACTATTAAAACGAGCATAGCCATATGATCCTTATAAAACTCTGCAAAGCACACTTTGGCCACCTTTGGTGCAGGAGTTCAGTAGGAGAAATGGAGATGTTTGTGTGTAGGCAGAAAGACGACAGTTCCAAACTAACCTGCATGTAAAGGTGAGGGGCCACTTGAAAAGTCTGCACCTTCTGTCAGGGTGGAAAGGTAGGAAAACCTGCAGTTGAGTTGGAGTATTGTGAGGCCAGTAACTCTCTCAGGCAATGGTGTCAGCACACCAATGGCCTAGCCATTGTTCAGGGTTTTTTTTTTTTTTAAGGCATCACAGTAAGGGAGGATTTTGAAGGAAGATTTTGAGGTAGCTTTGTGGATGTTTACAAGGAGCTCCTCCAAAAGTAAGGGACAGTATTGGAGAAAGCACAAAAGTGCTTGTTTTGAAAATTTAACAAGTGGGCAATGGAGACTGGCATCATGGGCCTATCAGAGGCAGGAGTCGACATCTTGATAGTGAATGGGAGATGATAGGGTGCAGCTAGGCGTTGAAGGGCCTTGAAAGTGAAGACAAGTATTTTATATGTGTTATGATTAAGAAGGAGGAGCCAGTAGAGGGATGTGAAGAAAGGAGTAACAGTCAAAGAAATGGACTAGAAGAATAATCTTTGCAGCAGCATTCTGCATGGATGTGAGCAGGGCAAGATTGCATTTGTCAGAGCTAGAGAGAAGAATGTTGCCATAACTGACACATGAGATGATCAGAGCCTCGATGGGAGTTTTAGCTGTGTGGATAGATATGAAAGGTCTTATCTTAGACCTAGTCTACACCACCCCTGCTGGTTGATCTAAGCTATACAATTTGAGTTACGTTAGTAGCGTAACTCAAGTCGACATAGCTTAGATCTACTTACCCCGGGGTCCACATTATGCTATGTCGATGGGAGATGCTCTCCCTCCAACATGGTTCCGCCTCTTGTTGAGATGGATTACAGAAATCAGTGGGAGAGCGCTCTCCCATCAATTAAGCGTGTCTTCACCAGACCTGCTAAATCGATGCAACTGCATCGATTTAGCTCTGTAGTGAAGACAAGACTTTAGAGATGTTATGCAGAAAAGATAAGAGAGGTTTGGATGTAGCCTGGATGTGAGGACCTAGAGAGAGCTCAAAGTCAAAGATGATGCCCAACTTATGGGCCTGAGTGACAGAAGGATGGTGGTGATGCCCACAGTGATCAAGAAAGGATATGAGGACAATGACTTGGATGAAGGGGAAGAGTAAGAGCTCTGTTTTAGCCATGCAGAGCTTGAGTTGAGCCAACTACTCTGTAGAGCAGATTCTCAGCTGTTGTAAATTGGTGTAGCTCTATTGACTTTATTGGAGCTACAGCAGTTCACACCACCTGAGAATCTGAACTAACAACTCCACTCGTCATTCTATAAAAAGGGTTTACTGATGCTATTTGCCTTTCTCTCATAGTGTTATTTGGCTTAACTAATATTTGTAACGTGATTTGGGACCCTCAGATAAAATATGCTATGGAAGGGTAAAGTTCTATTATTAAAGGAATAGAAAGACATTTTTAAAGATCTAAAGCTACATATCTTAGCTTATTCTTGTTTGGTTATAAACAATAGTACTTACAGTCAGTCTCTCTCTTTCTCTCTTGTTACTTGAGTCTATTGTCTTGCACCCTCATATGTATTTCTCAGCTAATAATGATAAAGGTGATGTTTACTGGCATTTTAGCTTCATGAAATATAAGGGATGGACTAGATATAACATAGACATCATAATAAAGTATTTTCAACCATAACTCAAAAAAAGAATTGTAATGACTTACCATCATTGAGCTAGATGGTAGGAGTACAGATGAGAAAAGCTGTAATAAAATTCTAGATGTCCAAATACTACTTACTTCATTTTGTGTTTTTTGATTACTATCATTTATGATTAAAGGAAAGAATATTGGCAAAAGCCACTAATATTTAAAACTTCCATGCTAAACTCCAGATGAGCATCATGCTTCATATTTATTTTGATAAAAGATATCATGAGTCCTGTAGGCCCTATTAGGGGACACCATGGGCAGGTGTCTTCTTTGCCTTGTATTTATATTCCCCCAAATTCAATGTCTGTACTTAGACACAGTATAACCATCCATGACTTGTTTTTCTTGTGTGCTGCTTCCCTGTTGACAATAATTCCGTATACAAATACTCATCCTTTGTATTAGCTTACAACCTTAATTTACATCGGTGGGGGGGGGGATAAACATAGCTTGCCTGGCAGACAATCTGTTTTTTTTTTATTTCTGATGGTGATTCATACCTTGATATAGACTTTAAGAATGTATTTTTAGTATATATACTTAACTCCTTACATAGTATCTCTACATACATTTCACAATGATATTACTAACCAGCATGACCCTGGCTTTCATTTAAGACCTCACCTGACATTCTTTGGTGAACTAGAATGTACAGACCCAGAATCAGGAGATTCCCATAACCAGCCACCTTCCAGTTGGCATTAAGAGGTTCTCAGATCGTGTTCAGCTATCCACTCATAATAGCCATTTTAGGGTCACTGCAGTCAGGCATGAGTTAGAGCAGTCTTGAAGCAGATCTTACTTGCAGTAGCAACTGAATAAACCTTCAGGCAATTCTAGCATTTGGGAAGAGGTACGTGAGGGGAAAAGAAAGGTGGTGGAGTTGAGCCAGACTCAAGGATTGGACCCATAACCTTTAACAAAATGTAGGTTTTGTAAAATTAAGAAGTTCTTCATAACTTCTTAAGCTAAATCCTATAGCCCTTATTTAGGAAAAAACACAAGGATTTGGCCCAACATTAATAGACATGTTTATTTTAAGTGCAATTGAAAACAGGTTTTTTTTTAATGCTGACAAACAAAGCACTGCAGTGTTCTGTTAATATATGTGACCCAGAAAGTGAAACTGGCTAGAATCTGACCAGTGTAGTTTTACCACTCACATTGAGTAAAAAAGTAAATAGTATAATTAGATAAATGTAAATGAGATAATTTATCTTCATTTTCACAATCTAAGATGTGATAGGTAACACTGGTAATTAAATTATTTTTTTTAAAAAGAGCCCAATCCTACCT